ACATATTAATAAATATTATGTGTATATACAGTGTATTATACAATCATATAAGAAAATGCGTCCGATTAGAGTTTAAATTTATTCATACAAAATTTAGAATTTACATTTTTTTATTGATTTCTAAGTACAATTCTCTTAGTTAGTATTCATATTTTTAGAATTATAATATATATGAAATACAATTAGGAATAAATAAACTTAATTATGTGAATTTTTTAATAAAATTATCTAAATATGTACATGATTAGAGATTATATTAACCATACAAAATTTAAATTTAAATTTTGTATGTTATGAAAATAGATACTTGACCAAATATATAAAAGTCCAACTATATTATTGTATTATATATTATACTATATTTTCATTGTTTTCTATTTTTAACTTTAAATTCATAAAAAAAAAATCTGTGCAACGCACGGGTAAAACACAATCGTTATACCCTGCACCACGGCACGTGCAGCACTGTGCGTCCCGCGCCTCCCAAAACGACGTTGTTTTGGGAGGCGCGGAAGGGGGTTGACGTGATTATGTGTATTTATTTATATCATTATGTGTATTTATTTTTACAATTATGTGTATTTTTTTTATACAGTTATGTATTGCATCAGGGCGCACAATGCAATGCGCGACCTGGTGCATGATATAAATTGCCGATAAAATACTATATTTTTAAAAATACAATTTGATAAATATCATAAATTAATTAGTACAATATCATTTCTGTTTATAATAATTAAAGAAAAATAAATAATTCAAATATGTGAACCAATGATTTCAAAATAAAATTAATATATAGTTACAAATAAATATAGCATTATTAGATGTACTTTAATTAGTTTTAATTTTCTTAATGAAATGACTTTTCTTTATCAATTTTTTATGGGAGACTAAGGGAGTGTGGGGCCTTGGAAAATATTTTAAAAATAAAAATAATTTTAAAATATGTTTTAACCCCTCATAACATGTGTAAATCTTATATTTTTTTTTAAAATACAATTAGATAAATATCATAAATTAATTAGTATAGTATCATTTTTGTTTATAATAATTAAAGAAAAAATAAATAATTCAAATATGTGAACCAATGATTTCAAAATGAAATTAATATACAGTTACAAATAAATATAGCATTATTAGATTTAATTTAATTAATTTTAATTTTCTTAATAAAATGACTTTTCTTTATTCATAGTGTTTGGATTGCTGGAAAATCTATAATCTATAATCTATAATCTATAATATAATTAAAAACAAAATTCTATTTACTTGATTTCCCGCTCAAACAATAGTAAATAATAAAAGTAAATTAACAAACGAACATAAATATTTCACAATAATTCTCTACATCATCATCAATTAAAAATGGAACAAAAATTAGGTAAATTGGAAAATAAATGAATATTAATAATTGACTAAAAATTAAAAATGAAAAAAGAAATAGAAATTAGGTTAATTGGAAAAGAAATGAATATTAATAATTGACTGAAAATAAAAAATGATCCATAATTGACTAAAAGTGAAAAGAAAATTGTCAGATCACAATAATATTACATAGTAGAATAAATCAAATCACAATTATATCATAAATCTTTCACAATTTTAAGCAATGGAACAGAATTAAAAATGAAACGGAAATATTTCAATAATAATATTCTACATCATCAAGTAAAAGTAAATAAAAAATGAAAAGGAAATATTTCAATAATAATATTCTACACCATCAATATCAATAGTAAATACATATTTTAAACAACAGTAAAGGTAAACTAAAAATGGAACGGAAATATTTCAATAAAAATATTCTACATCATCAATTAAATATGGTTCGAATAGGTAAAAATATCATTGCATCTGATATTCTAATTGACCAATTGACTGAGAATAAAAAAAATAATTCCCTGAAAATGAATCTGATATTGCTAATTGACTGAAATTATAAAAGGAAATGAATATTAATAATTGACTACAAATAAAAAATGATCCATAATTAAAATGAAAAAATAAATTGACAGGTCATTGCATTTTAATTAAAAAATGAAACAGAAATTAAAAATTGGACGGAAATATTTCAATAATAATATTCTACATAATCAATAGTAAATGCATATTTTAAACAATAGTAAAAGTAAATTAAAAATACAGAGAAAATATTTCAATAAAAATATTCTACATCATCAATCAAAACTGGAACAGAAATTAGGTAAAAATATCAATACATCTAATACTCTAATTGACTAATTGACTAAAAATAAAAAAGAATAATTGGCTGAAAATGAATTTGATATTACTAATTGACTGAAAATATAAAAGGATTAGTAATTGGCTGAAATTCTACCATTATATATTTTTACCCGAGTCACCCATCCTTTTGGACTAAAGGTGTTAGCTCTAGACGAATATAGACAAGATTGTGTTGTTACTACCAATGTTGTCTACAAAGAGGTTTCAATAGTATGTAAATATAATCTGTGATATTATGTTTTTTTAAATGGCAAAATTGCTATATATCTAGATAAAAAATATATTTTCCATACAAATAAATTAGGATATCAATTCATTTTTATAACTGAGTTGCTAGAGAACGAGCACATTTGACTAATTTATAAAAGTACTGAACAATGATAAATAAAATCTCCAAAGTTACAGCACCGCATGCGTACATCTACATATTAGCTATTAATTTGAGCAATTAATAACATAAAAACACATAAATGATCCAAACTATACTTTCAATTGCACTATATAATTTTTTATGTTCTAATTTAAATAATTATATATCGATCCAAATATTCTTAATATATTACAACAAATCTATTCCGTGCATCGCACGGGCGCAAATACTAGTTGTATTAAGAATAGGAAAGTATGACATAATATATTGTATTAGAAATTGTATTACCATATTTTAATGTACAATTATAGTACAAATATGAATTGCATTACCATATTTTACAATGTTACGCAAACCTTAATATTATATGAGTGTATTGGGCGGGAAGTTAAAATAAATAATTTTATTTTTATTAATAGTATATATAGATATAAATATAGATTTCATAAACAAAAAATATAAATAATTAAAACTGCATAGGAATAAGAAAAATAATATATGTACCGTATTATAGGGTACAATTAATATAGTGGTGATGCATTATGATATTTATTTTGTCTTGTAGGGAAGTATATGCACTATATTAGTATGATTAATAAGTTTAATCTATAATTGTATTAGGACTAGGAAACTAGGGAAAGTAGAAAGGGATATATTGTATTAGGAATTGTATTATCATATTTTAATACAATTAATTGTACATATAAATTATATTTCTTTTCTCAAAAAGCTAATTTTAATGTATAATTAATTTTACATATAATACAATTCCTAATACAATTATATTACAGATATGATTTGTATTACTGTATTTTACAATATTACGCAAACCTTAAAATATTATAGGAGTGTTTTGGGCTAGGAGTTAAAATGAAGGATTTTGTCCTTAATATTATATATGAGTGTTTTGGGCGGGGAGTTAAAAATGAAGGATTTTTGTTTTTATTAATACTTTAATAGTATAGATATAGATAGATTAATACTAAAAAAAAGATAATATAATTTTTCTCAATTCTCATTTGTAGACATGCGATTAACAGGCTGTTTGGTTGGAGGTAGTTTAGGTGTAGTTGAATTGCAATTCCGCGAAGACTACAATTATGCCGTTTGGTTGGAGGGGATTGCAATTCCACTGAATTGCAATTCCCTCCAAATACTGAATTACAATTCCGGGTTCCCCCTAGGAATTGTAATTCAATGTTGAATTGGAGATTGGAAAGACACTTTTGTCCCTTAGAGCATTATTATTATTAGTAGTAGTAGTATTACATGAGAGCATTTCAGTCATTGTATCATTTATTCCTTTTCAATTCCCTATAAGCTTATTTTGCATACCAAACAATGTAATTTGAATTCCTACTTTATTTCTACCCTATTCTTTTTCTATCGAATTACAATTCATTTCCACCATAATTCCTTACTTCCAACCAAACGGCCTGTAAGATTCGAAAATGATGATGAGAAAAATTATCTTATTTATTTTGTGTATTTGAGTTAAAGAACGATGACATTGAAATATTTATCTATTATTTTTAAAAAATTTATTAGTTTTTTAAATTTTGCAGGTCTATTGTAAAATATACCTATAATTGAGAAGTAAAATAAGATATATAAGAAAAAGTGCCATTTAAAAAATAATTAAAACAAGAATAATAATAATAGGGAATAACCTCGTAAATAAATTATTGAGTTAATACCCAAAATCGTCATTGACTATAGTGATTTTTCTCAATTTCGTCCTAAACGACTTTGGTGACCTAATATCGTCCCAGACTTTTGTGTTTCGCTCAATTTAGTCCTCCATTTGTTATTCCGTCAAATTGGTGTTAAATAAAGGGACAATTCAGTAATGTCAATAGTGATCTCTCTTTATTTTCAACTTGTGAAGTGCGAAATTCCTCTTTCTTGTATGAATTACACCCAGAATTACTCTCGGATCTGCAAATCAAATTTTATATTCGCAGTTTTATGAGTAATTCTGGGAGTAATTCGTAAAAAAAAAATGAATTTCGCAGTTCACATGTCTATGAGTAAAGAGATGCCAATATTAAAATTACTTAATTGTGTATTTATTTAACACCAAATGGACAGAATAACAAATGAGGGACTAAATTGAGCAAAAACACAAAACTCTGGGACTAAATTGCGCGAAACACAAAAGTCTGAGACGATATTAGGTCACCAAAGTTGTTTAGGACGAAATTGAAAAAAACCACTATAGTCGAGAACGATTTTGAGTATTAACTCATAAATTATTGGTCAAAATGTATGTATATATATATTCCATTATAAAAGGGAAATTAATGTTTAAAAAAAAGAGAAATTAAAAAGAAAAAATTAAAAATATCTGTAAAGTGTAAACCCTAATTGGCGCCGTTAGCCCGTTACTGTACTATAGCGTGTATAAATACATGCCTTTCGCTGGTTCACATAGGTTTCTTCCATCGCCTAAACCCTAATATATCTTTAGGGTTTTTCATATCGCAGCTCCTCTCCCCGCTCTCCCCTTCTCATCTTCCATCACAATGGGCAAATCCTCTAAGAAATCAAATCTTAAGGTAAATCTCGTCTAGCGATTCTATCTCTGTGCAGAAGTTATTATTTTTTTTCTGTTTACATTATTTATTATGGTTTTGTCCAGGTTGATGCCACTGCAGCTGTAGTTACTCCGACTAAGCCGATGCAAAAAGGTTCAATTTTTTTTTTTTAAAAGTTTTTTTTTTTCGTATTATTTTTGTTTGTAATTGATCTTCCACCGTTTTTAATTATTGTTTTGTTTTTAAAATCTGTTATTCGAAAACGAGTTCACTGTTTTTTTGGTGACTTTGTAGGTAAGAGAGAAGCGGAAGCTGCGGTTGGAAAGGCCAGCGCAAAAAAGCAGAAAAAGGATTCAGCTTTAGAACAAGCTATAGAGAAGAAAAAGGCCGATGCCAAGGTTCAGAAGAAGAAGGTGGAAAGCAGTTCCTCGTCTGATGAAGATTCTTCTGATTCTGAGGAAGAATTGAAGGTCTGTTGATTTAAATATCTCTGTATGTGCATGCTTGTGAGTTTATGAAATTTGAACTAGTACCATTTAGTGTTGTATGCTCTTATTGACCTAAATTTGACTTCCTATACTTAGTTTCATATAAAAACTACTGTTATATATATATATATATATATATATATATATATATTTGTTTTTAGAGTATGGATTATTGGTTCCTTTCAATGTTTAAAAAAAATATTTGGTGGGTTGTGTTTAAAGTGCGGAGTTTCTGATGGTGTTTTTATTGTTGTCAGAAGCCAGCTCTTAAAACTGTAGCTGCACCTAAGAAACCAGTGGCTGCCAAAAATGGGAAGCTTTCAAGCAGTTCGGATGAGAGTTCTTCTGATGAAGATGAAGTACTGGATGTTTGAATTATAATTTACATTATAATGCAATATTGATGTACAATGTTCTTTTTTTCATGATTTTAACACTGGTTTTTGATATTATATCTAGGTCCCAAAGAAAAAGCAACCTGCTAATGCTAAAAAAGTTGAGTCCAGCTCTGATGATAGTAGCTCAGATGAGGAGATTCCTACTGCTAAGAAGGGTACTGCTGCTGCCAAGAAGGGTACTGCTCCCAAAGGAAAGAGTGCACCTGTTACAACCATTAAGAAGGAAGCTAGTTCTAGCTCTGATGATAGTAGCTCAGATGAGGAGATGCCAGCTGCCAAGAAGGGTCCTGCTCCGAAAGGAAAGAGTGCACCTGCTGCATCCATTAAGAAGAAGGATAGTTCTAGTGATTCCAGTTCTGATGAGGAGATGCCTGATGCCAAGAAGGGTCCTGCTCCCAAAGGAAAGAGTGCACCAAAGAAAGATAGCTCTAGTGAGGATGATAGTAGCTCAGATGAGGATGCCCCTGTTGCTAAAAAAGTGCCTGCTAAGAATGGTGCAGTAAAACCGAAGCAAGATGAATCCAGCTCAGAAGAGGATAGTAGTTCGGATGAGGATGAAAAGGTTGTGAAGAAGGCAACTCCTAGTTCATCTGCCCCCACCAAAAAAGTTGAAAGCAGTTCAGATGATGATGACAGTTCTGATGAAAGTGAAGATGAGGAGCCACAAAAGAAAAATACCAAGGTAAGTGTATATATGTATTGTTTTTATCCTCATTGATCGTGTTCTACACTATGTATGCTAACATATTGTTTGATGTATATGTGAGGAGGCTTCAGCTACTGGAACTACTGTCAAACAAAGTGCTAAAGCCTCTAAAGATGAGACCAGTTCTGAAGATGAAAGTTCTGATGATGAGCCATCTAAAGCTGAGGCTGTTAAGAAGGTATTGACTGATTGAGATCTTTTGTAATTATTGAATCTTTATACAATTGTTATTACATTTGCATGCATTTCATGTGTACACTGTACACCTTCTGAGCTTGCCTATCCTCTCTTTTGCTGTGGCAGTCTTCTACTGGGAAGAAGGAGAGCAGTTCTGATGATTCCTCATCAGAGGAGTCTAGTGATGAAGAAGAGGATGTGCCTGCAAAGACTCCAAAGAAGGTAATTAGCTTCCTTGTGATGAATTTGATGGATTTTGGGCATTTATTTGTGATTTGTGATTTTTCAACTGTGAATTACATGATGATATTGTTGACCCAATGATACTTAATTTATATATATAGCATGAGTTTTTCAAAATTGTGTAACATGGAAAAGCTCTCTTTTATATTACCAAAACAAAAAGTTTAGTAGATGTTAAATGAAACAGGGTGCGGATGTGAAAATGGTTGATGCATTTGGCACAGATGGCAAAAAGAAATTTGTAAGTGGTTTTCAAAGTGTAGTATATTAGTTTTTGTTGGGAAATTATTTTATTGGTTAAAACTATTGGATTTGAAATGCAGGAGAAGACCCCAGTCACTCCTAAGGCTGAATCCCAAGGATCCAAAAGTCTTTTTATGGGAAATTTGTCATGGTCAATTGAACAGGCTGATGTGTATGTACAATTTATCCCTTGAATATTTGAGCATATTGGTACTTATTTTCAAGTATTCTTTTTAATTGTTTTTTTTTCAATATGCATGCAGAGAGAATTTCTTCAAAGATTGTGGAGAGGTAAAGGATGTTCGTTTTGCTTCACATCCAGATGGGACTTTCAAGGGCTATGGGCATGTTGAATTTACTACTTCTGAGGCAGCTGCAAAGGTAAACGATTTTTTGTTATGTATTGGTTGTTTATTCTATATTCTGTTTGTTTCAAGTAACTGATTATTTTGCAAAATTTAATTTTGAACTATTATTATTAAAGGTGCTGTCACGCACCTAAACTGATTTGATTTGATTGATCAATCCATTCCATGAAACTAAATTATTGTTATTATTTTGGTTTGGGATTTTTATTAAACCAAATGTTTTTGTATGATTTTGGTTTGACCCCAAATCGGTCTAACCAAATTGAAACCAAAATCTCTGCTCTTTAGAACCATAATTTAATTTAAAATTTGTCTAGTTTTATTTTTTTGTTGATGTTATTTGCATTCTATTGACACTTGAAGTTTGAAATTTTGCTTTAATTTAAATTTTGTTTTTAATGAACCCAAATTGACACTGAAATATTTGATTTTAGTTGGCATTAAAATGAGCTCATAATATTTTGTTTGGTTTTCATCAGTTTAAAAAAATGATAAGCCTAGGTATTTAGTTTGGTTTTGGTTTGACCTTCAAACTGAAGTAAATCCCTGGATGGTTGCCTAATATACTAATATTTTGTTATATGCATTTTCTTATTTTTATTGTTCTTTTTTCCCCTTGGTACTTGTTTGCCTTGTTTAACAGTGACTGAGTTGAATTATTTGTTGCTGTGTGTACAAATCTGTTGCAGGCTCTTGAACTTAATGGTCAAGATTTGTTGGGCCGAGATGTGAAGCTTGACCTTGCTAAAGAGAGGGGAGCTTATACTCCAAATAGTGGGTAAGCAATCTTCCCCTAAGTTTAGAATTATGGATTCTGAGTTAAACATAGTGTTTAACTTTGTTTGTAATTTTTTTTTTTACTGTAGGGCATTTGATAACTCCTCACAGAGGCAGAGCAGGGGTGGAGGTGAAAGTACAACTGTGTTTGTTAGGGGTTTTGACAAGAATGATACTGAAGACAATGTACTTGTGGCATTTTTTTGTCTGTTCAAACTTCTGATCCATTTTCTTTATTGATATCTGATCTTGTTGCCTATGTATATACCATTTGCAGATCAGGAGTGCTCTTGAGGGTCATTTTGGTTCTTGTGGAGAGATTAAAGGTACCAGAATCCCAACAGACCCGGAAGGGTACATTAAAGGGTATGTCCTGGAACCTCTTGAACTAAAATTTGTACTGCGCATTGCATTGGGTTTATACTGCACACATTATTCCGTTAGGTTTTCCATTATTTAGTGCGTGCCCGTATCTAATGATCTTATGTCAATTCTTTCTTTACAGGATGGCTTATATTGAGTTCGCGGACAATGATGCAATGAGCAAGGCTCTTGAGCTCAACAACTCCCAACTTGGGCACAGCAGCTTGTATGTTGATGAAGCTAAGCCAAGAAATGATAGTCGTGGTGAGAGTGGAGGCAGAGGTGGCAGGTTTGGTGGTGGTAGGAGCGGTGGTAGGGACAGCGGTGGCAGGTTTGGAGGAAGGGGAGGTGGTAGACGTGGTGGTGGTGGTGGTAGGTTTGGAAGTGGTGGTGGTGGCAGGTTTGGAGGCAGTGGCAGAGGAGGTGGCCGAACTCCTGGCAAGCCAAGCATGACTTTTTCTTCTGGTAATTGATATATATATATATATATATATATATATATATATATATTAGCTGCTGTGTATTATTAACTTCTCTTCTAGTTCCTTATCAAGTGACACTATTACAAATTGTGTAGGTAAGAAGACAACTTTTGATGATTGAGGAGTAGGCTGTGAAGCTCGGCATCAGGCAGCAGCCAGAATGTTTGCCATTTTTGTTTATTTTAAGACTGAGTTCTAGTTTATTTCTGAACATGTGACCTATGATAGTTTGTATTTTGTTTATCCATGTGGGGATCTATTTTGTCGACAATAGTTTGTTTGTTTGTTTACCTACATTATTTATTTATCCTCTACCGGCACCAACTCATATAAAGTTGCCAAATTCTGTCTTTTACATTTTATCTATAAAATCCCCTCCTACAGGCATTAGTGTTCATTTACATGTTTGAATTCGTTTCTGTTTTAGAAAGAGTAATCATTAGCCAGCCAGCCATATTGCACTTGATCTGTGTCACAGTGATATATATGTACCTAATAGTATACAAAAGTAAAAGTCTCAATTGATAAGGAACTAGAAGAGAATTGATGGGATTCAAGGTACTTTCGATGATTGCCAATGATATATATGTACCTAGAAGTATACAACTACACGGGGCATTTCCTAGTCCAAAATGGAAAATCTATAAAACAAGTCAAACGATACAAACTACAAAACTAAAAGTTTGTATAAAAAAGCAAATAAGCCTGAATACATTTGAGAAAAGAATACAAATATAGAGAGAAGGATCAAACATATGATCATGAAGAAGGTCATTTCCAGCACATCTAAGATGAGAAATGGAAGTCCTTCCGAGATCTTCTCCGAGTAACCACGGAAAGCTCAGTATTTTTGCGAGTCTTTTAGAAATATAATCACGTCCTCTAAGATGAGAAATGGAAGTCCTTCCAAATGAGATCTTCTCCGAGTAACCCACGGAAAGCTCAATATTTCTGTGAGTCTTTTAGAAATATAATCACGTCCTTTGTCACAAAAAAGAAATGGCAAGCAAGGCCACCAAAAATAAAGTCTTTAGCCCCACCAAATTGTATGTTGGTTGAACTGTCCAAAGAAAGAAAAAACACATGGATTTCTTTTTAAAATTTTTTGAGAAGAGCAAAGGATCATTTTGAAAAAAAAAACCTTCACTTTTGGAGAAATGATATTGGAGAACTGGTTCGCTAAGAGTTGGACAGGGGTAGTTTGTACTACCTTTCCCACTATTAGTCAATAGGGAGCTATAAATGGATTTGAATAACTCTTTATCGGATCACCGTTCAACCGGACTAGTATACTGCAATCCGCCAGTATATACGAGGTAGCCTACTACCATCCCAACTTTAGACAAGTTGGCAACTGTATATATGCATATCCAAAAAAGAAATTGCATAGGAATGAAAGGCACAAAATAGTAATCGATGCAAATATGAGCAAAAATTCAAAGAAAACAAGCCAATATCGATACCGAAAAGTCGGATTACAATTAAAAATGATTTACTTTAGCCGGATTTGATTTGCCTTTACAGACCGGGCTAGGATATCACTTAATCATTATATAAAACGTTGGGATCCAAGTTTAGATGAATGCAAACTAGGATGAGTAGAGTGAATATATTACTCTACGCACATGGCAAATGATGATATTCACCAAAGCCTCAAGAGATTGTCCTTTTCATAAACAAAAACAATGGTCAACTTCATAAAAAACAACAAAAACAATGGTCAACTTCATAAAAAACAAGGGTTACGGATTGGACCTACACTTATAACAAAAACAAGGTTCAACTTTATAAAAAACTTTTCAGAAAAAAAAAAACTTTTTGATCAAAAGTCTAGCCATTTGGCATGGTAATGGGTAAGTGGGAGTTACGCATTTATGATCGTGAAGGGAGGTATCCACTTCAATTAGAACCCTAGCAAAACCCTCTTTTTTTCTCAAATCTCTTGTGATTTTGTCAGTGCTGTTTTGGCCCGATGGCTTCAATGGATGCGTCAAGTTCTCGTTCCACCGTTAACGCTCGTGCTTCCCTCTCCCTGGACGAGGAGGAAGATGAAGCTCTGGTCATAAGCATTGATGAAGTAAACGAAGATCGTGTAGAATTCAAATACATGCTGGTGGGGAAGTTGCTGACTGACAAACCAATCAAGTTTATGAACCTTAGGGACACCATTGCCGCTACTTGGAGACCTGGTATGGGTATGATGATGACAGAGGCAGATTATAATCTATTTGTATTTCAGTTTTTTCACCAAGTGGATTTAAAGCGAGTTATGGAGGACGGGCCTTGGTGTTTCGATCAGAGTCTTCTGGTGCTCCATAGAATGCAACCGAGTGAATTGCCAAAAGACATTCCTCTGTGTAAGGCGGAGTTTTGGGTTCAAGTCCATAAGCTTCCGATAGGTTTATTTAGGGAAAACATTGCCAAAGCCATTGGGGACTATCTGGGAACATTTATTCGAGCTGATAGGAACAATTTTGATGGATCCTGGAAGTCCTTTCTAAGGGTCCGAGTACTGTTAGATATCACAAAACCCCTGCGGAGGAGAGTGAAGCTGAGGAAAGGAGGGGGTGATTGGTTTTGGGCTGAGTTCAAGTATGAACGCTTACCCCATTTTTGTTTCTTGTGTGGATTAATGGATCACACTGATCCTTACTGTCCGAGGAGGTACGAGGTCACGGAGGAGGAGGAGGTGAGGCCATATGGTTCTTGGCTCAGGGCAACTCGTCGACGTTTTCCGGCCATTGGTAGTCGTTGGCTGGTTGAGGGACCACCGCGCAAGGCGGAGATACAAATGCCACAGCCTCAAGAGGTGGTGAACCCAAATTCATACTGATATATTTGATTTTGGTTGACATTAGCTCAAAATATTTTGTTTGGTTTTGGTTTGACCTTCAAACTGAAGTGAATCCCCATATGGTTGCCCCTAATAGGCTAATATTTTTCTAGTAGTGTGCATTTTCTTATATTTACTGTTCTTTTGTTTCTTGTTGTACTTGTTTGCCTTGTTTAACAGTGACTGAGTTGAATTATTTGTTGCTATGTGTACAAATCTGTTGCAGGCTCTTGAACTTAATGGTCAACAGTTGTTGGGCCAAGAAGTGGAGCTTGACCTTGCTGAAGAGAGGGGAGCTCATACTCCGAATAGTGGGTAGGCCATCTTCCCCTAAATTTTGAATCATGGATTGTGATAGATCCCTTGTACGCACCGGCATTTGGCTCTGTTTGCTAAGCTATTGAGTCACCGTGATTTACATCCTCCCAAATGTTCTGTCGGGCTGGGGTGTGGAGGGCCCTTGGGGTTGGGGATTCAACCTTTTTGGGAGAAGAATCATGGATTGTGAGTTACACATAGTGTATAATTGTTTTTTGGTAATTTGTTTACTTCTAGGAAATTTGATAACTCCTTCCAGAAGCAGGGCAGGGGTGGAGGTGAAAGCAGTTCTGATGATGATGACAGTTCTGATGAAAGTGAAGATGAGGAAGATGAGGAGCTACAAAAGGAAAATACCAATGTAAGTGTGTATTGGTATTGTTTTTATCCTCATTGATTGTGTTCTACACTATGTATGCTAACATATTGTTTGATGTATGTGTGAGGAGGCCTCAACTACTGGAACTACTGTCCAACAAAGTGCTAATGCCTCGAAAGATGGGACCAGTTCTGAAGATGAAAGTTCTGATGATGAGCCATCTAAAGATGAGGCTGTTGAGAAGGTATTGAATGATTGAGATCTTTTGTAATTATTGAATCTTTATACAATTGTTATTACATTTGCATGCATTTCATATGTGTATGTACACCTTCTGAGCTTGCCTATTCTCTCTTTTAGCTGTGGCAGTCTTCTACTGGGACGGAGGGCAGTTCTGATGATTCCTCATCAGTTGGATCTGAATCCCAAGGATCCAAAACTCTTTTTATGGGAAATTTGTCATGGTCAATTGTACAGGCTGATGTGTATGTAAATTTTGTCCCTGGAATATTTACGCATATTGGTACTTATTTTCAAATAATCTTCTTAATTGTTTTTCTGACATGCATGCAGAGAGAATTTCTTCAAAGATTGTGGAGAGTTAAAGGATGTTCGTTTTGCTTCACATCCAGATGGGAAGTTCAAGGGCTACGGGCATGTTGAATTTACTACTTCTGAGGCAGCTGCAAAGGTAAATGGTTCTTTCTTGTACTTGTTTGCCTTGTTTAACAGTGACTGAGTTGAATTATTTGTTGCTGTGTGTACAAATCTGTTGCAGGCTCTTGAACTTAATGGTCAACAGTTGTTGGGCCGAGAAGTGAGGCTTGACCTTGCTTATGAGAGGGGAGCTTATACTTCGAATAGTGGGTAGGCCATCTTCCCCTAAAGTTAGAATCATGGATTGTGAGTTAAACATAGTGTATAATTTTTATTTTTTTTTGGGTAATTTGTTTACTGTAGGAAATTTGATAACTCCTCCCAGAGGCAGGGCAGGGGTGGAGGTGAAAGTACAACTGTGTTTGTTAAGGGGTTTGACAAGAATGTTATTGAAGATGTGGTATCTTTTTTTTGTCTGTGCAAACCTGTGATCCATTTTCTTTATTGATGTCTGATCTGGTTGCCTTTGTATATACCATTTGCAGATGAGGAGTGCTCTTGAGGATCATTTTGGCTGTTGTGGAGAGATTAAAAGTATCAGACTTCCAACGGACCCGGAAGGGAACCTTAAAGGGTATGCCTGGTGGCTTTAGGACCTTGTGTCTGGAACCTCTTGAACTAAAATTTCACTGCCCATATCTATTGTTATTTTTGTGTAGCGCCCTTTCATTGTCGATGTTGCTTGTATTGTACTGCTTGTCAGACTGTATCTTAGGGATTTTGAATCTGATATTTAATGATCTATTATGTATGCCATTTCTTTGTTTACAGGATGGCTTATATTGAGTTCACAGACAGTGATGCAATGAACTGGGCTCTGGAGCTCAACAACTCCCAAATTGGAAACAACACCTTGTATGTTGATGATCCTAAGCCAAGATGTGATAGTCGTGGTGGAGGCAGGTTTGGAGGAAGGGGAGGTGGTAGACGTGGCGGTGGCCGCTTTCGACTATGATAGTTTGTATTTTGGTTTATCCATCATCATCATGTGGATCTATCTTGTCAACAATAGTTTGTTTGTTTGTTTGTTTGTTTGTTTGGTTGATCTCCCCGGACATCAACTTGTGCACACTATTGAATAGTGATTGTGAATTTTTCATGGCATTCAAAAAACAAAAAAAATTCTAAATGTCAAACTCAACAAGTATCAAATAGTTTGTAGTGTAGCAGGGCGGCCCTCAAACATTTGTGAGATTGCCATCTGCAGATCATCAACCGAGTACTTGATTGATGATGCCTTTCCCTTTTCAGACAATTGCTTTACAAATGAATTGTAAAGTGGAACCAATCCATTCAGTATACACTGATGCAGCTCTTGTCGAAGCTGCAAATCTGGGACCAACCATCTCGATTGAGTCCTATGAATTTCCTCAAACGTAGAATTCATGTCTTTAAGAATGTGTTTTCTACTCGAACCAAATTGCCCACCACCACAAAATCTGATGAGTTTGAGACCAAACCCCCTTTTCTTAATCGACAGCCCATTGGACAAATCTTGCTGCATGCCTGCATCTTGTTCCAGGTGCTAAGCATGTATGATTCTCTGGCAATTCTGAGGTTTTCTTCCAAATCATGCAGGTACTCTTCCCCTATCGAATCTTTCATTACTGCACATTCTTGTACTTGTAACACAATGTATCTAACGTTGTTCATCATGAACAAGTGCTCATACCCATCTTTGTGCTGTTTGGATTTGATCTTCAGGTTGCAATGCAGGCTGGCAATTATCCAAACCAGGTGTGAGGCTAGCGGCGACTGATTCTCCCTGTCAATGAATCTTCTGTCGAGAACAGTGTCCCCCATTCGTTCGATCATTATCTGGGGTTTTGATGTTATTAAGGTTGTCAGAGGTTGGCCATATCCATGCATCATTCTGGTTAAGTATTCCATCACGTATGTAGTTAAGGGATGAACTCCCTCTTCGACTCCCGTGACAGACCATGAGTGTGCCAGAACAGAATGCTCAAAATTTTGCAGGATGTCCCTGGCAGCCTGGGCAAGCTGGGAAAGTGTTGTTCTGGCTTGAATCTGAACCCTCTCTGATGATTTTGCACCGAATATGTACTCGATGTCGGGCAGGAGAGACAGCAGTCTCTCGTGCAAGTCGAGAATCTTGAACAGCCGTTCTGCAGAAGGGCGGATCGAGCTGACTGCCTGTGCAAAGGCGAAGAACATAGTGACATGATCTTTCACAATTTCCATGAAGAATGCATCGTCCTTGGCGGTTTGCAGGTCTTCGAATACTTCTTGGCACATTATCTTTTCTCTGCAGAATAAATTTTCTATGCAGAATTGAGCTGCTCGAATCCATAGCACAATCTTCTCTTCAAGCTCTTCCCAATGCATCCTCCGAATGTCAGATATGCTTAGTTTCTCGATGCCAAATCGTCTGAAATTGGCATCGAGGTGGGACTTTCGGGCAGTTCTGTAAAGGGATTTGCAGTCATGGGGATATCCCATGGAGCTCATCCTCTCTGCAATGGACCTGAGATCGTGGACACACCCCACTATGGATTCTGCAAAGGAGTAGCCTCCAGTGCTGAAGGTGCTTGAATAAGCAGGAGAAATTTCTGTGTAAGTAGTTAAACAACTGGTGTTTAATATGGTTTGAAACTCGTTCTTCAACTGGTTCTTGGCAATATGAACTGTGCTCTCCAGTTTGGTCCTATCTTCTGATGAGATCTGGGCTGATTCCATGGATTTAACTATTTCATCAATAGCCTGCAAGTATTCATCGATTTCACAGTGGTCACCCTCAAAGGTCAACCATTTTCTTCCTCCTCCTCCTCCTGCATCTGCTGATGAATCATACTGCAATATTACTTTTACTGCTTTTGATAGGTCAGTATCAAAGCTCGGGGGCAAATCCATGGTGTTTGGAGATGATTCTTGAAAAGATTGTCAATGGGGAGCTTCTCTTTTTGTTTTCTTTGTTAGCTTCAAGACATTTTGGCCTTTTGGGTCATTTGATACAGAAATTAGAGGTAATCACCTCAAGAGAAATGGTTTGGAAATGCCCAGGAAAGTGATGGCCACATGCAATGGGTGTTTGATTTTTCTTTGAGGATGGTAACCTTATATTTTTTTACTCTTAGCTTTCAGAGACAAATTATTTTATATATAAAAAAAAAGTAAGTTACAATTTTGGGCCAGTGACACAAAATGAATAAGCGGGCTGCTAAAGCAAATGCAAGATTGATGCATTGTGTTAAAAGATTTTGAGCGAAATTTTTATAGGTGTAAGAGTCAAATTTAGAGGGTTAAGGATGTGTTATTTTGTATGTAAAAAACAAAAAGTTACTCAGGTATAATTTTTGTTTATGTAGCTAGAATACCGTGTGGAATGTTAGCCAATAGTGTTGTGATTGTGTGGTTTCAAAGAAACTGCAGAAAGCCAAGTTTGAACCTGGAAGGTGTGATTGAGTGGAAGGGACTTATCCATCAAGTAAGGGACTCGTTCCAATTCTTAATCAAAGTCCAAAGGTAAAGGATTCGATCCTTGCTTTGGGAATGAAGCGGCCTTAAATTTCCAGGTCCTAAAAGAGGTGCCTACAATTCAGCGAGAGGATTAGTCACTGTGTTGACGGTGGAAATCTGGTATACCCAAAAAAAAAAAAGAAAAAAAGAAAGCCAAGTCTGAATTTTCCTCTACTTCTTCTGGTTGGTGTGGCTAACACAACATAATGCATATGTGACATTTCTATGATAAAGCCGTGTCGGTCCTACTTCCAGGGGCAGAAATGGAGCACCATAAAGACCAATTTTAGCCTGGATCAAAGGCCGGAAATCTGTAGAAAATGGAGCCAACGAGGGACTTTGAAGATGAGGAAAGTGCAGTAGAGATGGTGGCCAAGTATACTACTACTACTACTGCACAAGTAGACGACGAGAAGAAGAGGTTAATGGTGTTTGAAGGCGAGGAGCTTAGCGAATTGAAATGGTTTAGTATCTCCTCCATACATGAGAGTTTGGAAAGTGCAGAGACGATGACGGTGAGGAAGCAGATGCTGGATGAGTTTGGAACCACGCTCTCTCTTGCCTTCACTCATCCTACTACCAGTAATACTCATTTCCCTGCTTCTTTTAATGCAAATTATTCAACTTCTTTGAGCAGCGCTAGTCTCGCCTTGGAAGAACTCACCGAAACTCTCCCTGATGAACTTCCCTCCATTGCACAGCGCCTGAGTGCCATGGGATATCTCGAAGATTGCAAGCAGATTTACAAGACCAAACGCCTGGCATTTTTCGATGCCACTTTAGGGCGATTTGGCATTCAGAAATTAAGTGCGGTTGAGGTGAAGAGGATGGAATGGGAAGCACTTGACAAGGTTGTAGGGCTGTGGTTGAAAGCACTTGTGTTCTGTGTAGATCTTATCCCCATTGAAAAACAGACCCACCAGTCAGTCTTCAAAGACGATTCATCAGCACTTGTGATGGGAATAGTGAGGGCTTATGTCTCACCATTCCTAGATTTCGTACAGGCATTTGCCACCACTCACCCTTCTCCACAAAAACTATTCAGATTCCTTGATTTACACCGCATCCTAAACACTACCTTGAGCCGGTGTGTATTGTTGGAGGTGCCCAGAGATGATCCTCTGGCGACACAGGTTGAAGAAGCCTTGTCTCAGCTCATAGAGGCAGCAAAAGTGAGTTTCCGGAATTTTGAGAGAGCGGTGGACAGTGACGTTATGCATATTAGTAGCGTCAAAGAGGGTGGTGTTCATACCACCACAAATTATGTCATGGATTATATGATGAGATTGATATCTGAATACAGTAACGAGTGTGAATGGATAGTTTCAGTGCCAAGAAAGGTGGAAGTAAGAACAAGGATCGATGGGAATATCTGTGAGAAAAAAAGTATTGATGGTAGCGGCGTATCGCCATTTGCATCTCACGTCATTTGGGTCATTGCCTCGTTGCTGCGCAGGTTGAAAAGCAAGACCGTCCAACACCTGCAGGACGATGATGCTTTTGCTCACTTTTTCATGTTGAATAACCTCAATTACATTATTCAGAGGGTGAATGAGCAGCCAGGATTAAGAATGATAGTACAGGGTGATTTCCTGCATGATATTGAAACAGGCCTGCGTTCTGCAAAACTGAAATACCTGGGTTCGACTTGGACCGAAATTGTACAGGATTTGGCGCAATGCTCCACTCCCAAAAAGATCAAGCTCTTCAACGTCACGATTTCCTGGCAGAGTAGCAGGAAGAAAACTCTTAGGAATTTCAATGAAATGTTTGGTAAAGTTCATCAAACTCAATCTAGGTGGTCGGGATCTGATGCCAACCTCATGGGACAGCTTCGAAAAGTTATTTTGGATAGGTTGGTTCCAACTTATGAGCATCTTCTTGACCAACTCTCAGACACTTCTGGTAATCCCACCACTGAAATCCAATACTCAGTTGAGGATTTAAAGAAAGCAATCTCTCAGCTCTTTCAGGGTCGCCCTCCCACATCCTTTCCATCAACATAACATACTATACATGGAGTCAAGAACAACATTGATCTGTTGCTGCCACTTGCATTATTGTTTCCTTAGTTTATTTACTACTCTCATTCTTCTCTTTCTTCATTTTATGTGTTTAGTCCGGTTGAGATAGAATTAAATAAATAATTGTATTAGTATTTTGAATAATAGCCAATAGAGGATTCTCTGTGTCTTATTGCATGACAATTTACAGATATGCAGTGGCACAAGTGTATAAGCTAAGGTTATACCATCTAAGACAACCTTAAATGTGACAACATACTGCAACAGTATCTACTGAGAGTTAAATTTGTAACTTTATAGTCACTAAATTAACTAATTGCCCCCGAAAAGACTATATCATTTTGATCGAAAGGGTGATGGGGGGCGGCCCTCGAAGAGTTGACAGCAGACTGCATTCTCCAAATCCTCAACAGAGTATTTGATCAACTTTGTGGCCTTTCTGGAGGATCTGCACTGGGAAAGTTGGTGAAGAAAGGAATCATAAGCTGGAACCAATCTCTTCAAAATACATTGACGAAGCCCTTCCCTGAGCTCCCAATCACGCACAACCCACCGACACTGCGTTTGCTGGATCCTCTCAAAGGCAACATTAAAATCTTTAAGGATTCCCTTCCTCCTACAAGGACCCGAAATCGACATCCCCAGAAGTTTTATTTTCTTGGGGACTAATCCCTGCTCCAAACCCTTCAGAACTCTATCCCAGGTTGAGCTCAGGTGGGCAAAGACCGTGGATTGGAGAGCATTTTCCAGACAAGATTTGAAGTCCTCCCCGACAACTTTTACTAACTCAGATTCCTTTAACTTCTGAACAACATGGTTGAGGTTAACCATCATGAAAAAACAGGCAAACCCATCATCCAATTCCTGTTCTTTAGTCTTGCCCCGCAAGTTGCACAGCAGATTAGCAATCACCAGTTTGATATGCGAGGCTAGCGGCGGCTGGTCACAGCAGTCATGAACATTATGCGGCGTTTTGCCGCTGAAAGTGTCGCCGATCCAGAGGATGTCGTCGATGTTCCTCGCCACGATCCACTCGCATTTCCCGTACCCCGACACGATTCTTGTCAGGTAGTCCATTACGTAGGTTGTGAGATGATGAACACCCTCTCTCACGTTGTCCACACACGACAAGTCCCCCACCACAGCTCTCTCGAACCTCAAAAATGTCTCCCTGGCCGCCTCTTCCAAAGCTGACAATATCTGTTTCGCCTGCTTTACCAAAGCCTCAGCTCCCGGCAACTTTAGTAGCTCTAAAGGGGGCAACATTAACGTTAAACAGCCGTGCAAATCCAGCATCCCGAACAGGCGTTCCGACGAACGGCGACCACGCGCCACTGCCGAGACAAAATCCAGGAACGGATTTACGTAAGCCCTTACAATCTGCATCAGAAATGGGGCGTTCTCGACTTTAAAGATTGATTGGCAGGCGTGGATTTCCATGGTAATGAGATGAACATGGAAGGGAGCTGCTCCAACCCAGAGCCCGATCGTCCTGTCCAATTCTTGCCACACCATTTTCTGCACATCACCCGCGCTCAACTTCGCAATACCGAATCGCGTTAAAGTGGCATCGAAAAACGTCTCGCGAATGGCGCTGTAGATTTCCTGGCAGTCCCGGAGGCACCCCATCGACCTCAGCCGCCGCGCAATGGACCGGAGATCATCCAGGACAGAGCTTGTGGGATCATTTTCGAAGCAGAAACCAAGAGAATAGCTACGAGTGGTGCAAGAATATGTACTGGGATTTTCTGAAACGGTTTGTTTGGTGCTGAGAACATGATTGAGAATGGTTTCGAACTCGTCCAAGAGCTGCCGCCGAACAGTTCCAGCTTCCAAGCTCCCGCTTTGCATGAACTGCTGAATTATGTAGTCCACAGCCCAGAGATATTCATCGATTTCACTCCGGCAACGTTGGAAGATCATTTTGCGCCTATAATCATCGCCTTGTGCACATTTGGGATCATATTTGAGGACAATCTCCCTCGCTCTGTCATCATCCGTCTTTACCACTTCCATTTCTGCAGATTACAGTGTTGAAATCAGATTATTATGAGATGAAATCTTTTTCTGTAGAATAAGAAGTGAAATATCAGATGCGTGTGTATCTATTTAACTAGTTCTTGTTCTTGATTTCTTGTTCGGCCATCAAAGGGACAGAAAAGAAGTCATCGGATCCATTGTTTCAACATATTACAGGACAAAAATGAGGAAGAAGATCAGAGGACCCACGCGGCATTACTATAGGCTCTTACAAGGTCATGGGTCCAACAAGAATATATAGACTTGAGTGCAGAAAACTGCAGGTGTTTACAATTTAGTAAAAAAGTTAGCAGTCTCCGACGACTCGACCAGAAAATGGTTTAAAACATCTCTACAACCGAGTGGAAAAAATCATTTTGATTGAAAAGATGGTGGATGGCGATACTCGAAGACTTGAAAGGTCGCCCTGTTGTTAGTGTGTATTTTTGCTTAGATTTTTTGTTAGACTTAGTGTTTATAGGAAAATTGTTGGATTGACTCATTCTGATTTTAATTGATGTTTATTATTTCATATTGAATAATTTTATTTGTCAGTCAAAATTTTAACTTACTCATCCTATCTTTGTTGTCTTCATTAAAGTTTTAGATCTTTAATTATCTTTTCAATATGGTTCGAATCACTTGATTTAGACATTCTTAGGATGAGATATGCTTAAAATATCAAGACGTCACCTGCTTGAGAAAAAAAAAAAGAGTAGAATGTAGTCATGCTAACACTCACAGCATATGAGCCCTGATCTTCACTCTAAAATGCATGTTTCTTCATCTTTTTTGTTCCTTTGGGTCTCACATCATGTCATGACACATCCAACTCGTTCTTTGGCACTTTCTTGACATCTCATGACTCCCAAAAACATCTTTGTACCAAAATGACTTCAAAACACATACAATTGAGCTCCAACTTGCTTGATGTTATAATCAATGCCTCCAAATCACCTAAATGACATGAAGGTCGGGATCAAATATGCATCATGAGAGGTCAAAAAAATGAAAAAGATTGAGGTGGAAGTATCATATATGACATGATCCGGGGATCCAAAGGAACAAAGGAGATGAAAAATATGCATTTTGGAATGAAAATCAAGGTTCACGCCGGTAGTCACGGCGTGACTCCACTCTACTTTGCATTTTTCTCTGTCGGGTGATATCTCAGTATTTTGAGCATATCTCAGGCTACGAGTGTTCAAATGAGGTGATTCAAGTGGCATTGGAACAAAAACTCAAAGTGCTACAACTTTCATGAAGACCACAAAGGCTAATTAGAGCGTCTATAAGGTAAAAAATGGCCTAGGAATCAGAACTATTGCGCAAAGTGTGTGGTCACGATCGAGGTCATGGCGTGAACTTGACCTTGTCCTCTAGAACCTACGAACTGTGCTAAAAATTCATGGTGGAACTCACACCGTGAGCCCCATGACCACCAGAATCCTTTTAAAATTGTATTTTTAGCGCGATTTGAAGGGTATAAATAACCCTATGCAGTTATTTTTAGAAAACTTTTCATTCTCCCCTCTTTCTCCAGGGTTTTCTTGTAGAGAAAATCTCTCCAAACATTTCATTTGTATAATCAATCCAACTTTGAAGAAGATTTGAAGAACAATTTCAAATATTATCTTGCAATTTTCAGATTTCATTTCACTAGTTCTTAATCAAAGCAAGTCTTTCTTGTTGCTTTCTTTGCATTTTCTTTCTTTCAATTGTGATTGCAATGTCTTTTGTTTCAATTGATGCTTTAATTTACATTTCAATCCATGATTAGCTAGATTCAATTAGGGATTCGATTAAGTCATCTTTTGTGATTGATGCTATGTGATTGAATTGAGCTATGAGCTAGTGCAATGACTTGATGATGGCTCTAGTTGTGAGCTTGGTGGTTTGTATTGATTCTTGTATGCATGGTTGTGGCCAAATTATGCAAGATGTACATGGAATAGGTGTTGCCCCTATGAGAATAGAGAAACACTATAGCCACACCTCTCGCTAATCCAACTCACCTTTGAGAAATGGGGGTTGGAAGGAGATGCGAACATCACATGTTTGATAAAATGCTTCAATGGCCTTAAGTCACCATGAGAGTGGGGCTTGAAGCTAATTGAGAGTCCAATGACCACGAGAGTGAGGTTGGGACCTAATAGCATCTCCCTAGTTCCCTTATCAATGCATTACATTAACTCTAACCAATGATACACTATATCATTTATACTTTAATGGCCTAGTCAAAGCCCTTAGTTTTTACTATTGATTGTTAATTGTTGCTTGATCTTTCATTACAATTTGGTTGTCATTTCCTTTATGTTGCTCTTATCACATGAATCACACCTATTCATTTGAACTAGCTACCAAACACTGTACACTCATGTGATTAACCACCTACTATTCAACTCCCTTTCGGTCCACTCCTTGAGACGATATCCGGTGTGAGGATATCCTCTCACACACACTCACTTTCCATTCCACCACTTTTACACAACTTCCAAATGATGCCATTGCCGGGGAGTGGTGTAGGTTTGAATAGTTTGTCCATTTTGGTTAGCATGAGTAGGTGTCCAAGTTAAGGAGTCTTGTTCACCCTTTTTACTGTCTGTTTGCACTTTACATTGTGTTTGTCTCTTTTATTTGTTTGCACATATTTTGTGTTTGTTTTTGTTGTCTTATTGTGTTGTTTCATTTGCGTTTTGCTCTACTTGAAATTTCCATTACACTACTAGCACTTGCAACTACTTTAGGTGTAAAATCTTTCTCTTGTCTTTGTGCTTGTAGATTGATCCTTGATGATGTATTCTCAAGCAAGATTCCAACATGAGGATCAATATGATGACTATGAACCTTCTTTCTCAAGGACATTTAGAGCTTAACAAAAAGAATATCAACTAAGAAGGCCATCACTAAGGACATATGCTGATGAGTATGACCAACCAAAAAGGCAACCACCAAGAGTTCAATATGATTATATGGGATATGTTGATTACAACTACTCAAGGAGATCTACACCACCACCTCAAGAAAGATATGCATATGATGATCCACCGGAGAACTACCAAGTTTCTTATTATAGTCATGATTATGTGCATTCGAGGAGGCCGTGCCCAACCACTAAGGAGAGATCTATCCTATGATCATTCTAGGGACTACCAAGCACTTAGGTACTACCAGAATGATTATGAGGAGGGATATCATGATCAAGAACTCTAACTTCCAATCAAAATTTGGCTCTCTTAAGTTCATAAAAATTAGGTTTTATAATCTTCGTAAATGTTGTAGATCTTTGATTTAACATTTCAATGTCACTAAAATCACCCCAATTAGGTCTTTCTACATCAAGTTATTAGCATTTGATCAAATGTTATTTTGGATGATAAATGTAAATTTAATTTGTTTTACTTCTGCATTGGTTTTCTTATATCATCCAAGATCATTCAATGAGCTAAATTTAAGTTCATTGATGAGAAGGTTTTCATACTCAAATGTGATCCTTGCTTAGTTTCTTCGCTCTAAAATGGCCTAAATATGTCTCAAAATCATTCAACTTATTCAATTTAAATCATTTTAATTAGCCCAAAAGAAATTAGAACAAATTAGAAATCAATCAATAAATACATTCCAAAGTGTGTCAATTTTGTGTGCATCATAATCATTAATTCATTAGAGTACATTCACGAAGATGTTGCCTAAGCTGCGCATTTATCTAATGCCAACCACCCAAGATTAAGTTTGATGGATTCTTCAAACATATATAGAATTGAACTCCCCAAGAATTAATAATAAGTAAACAAAAAGTGATCCCTTAGCTTTTGGACCACACGGCACTATTGCACAGTAGACTTGGTCCAAAGAGGGAGTTCCTCGACTCTTTCCAACACTCAGAATCAAATAGATGTCTTGACTCTTGAGGTTGAAAGTGATGACACTACTAATTTTAAGTAGAAGACATACAATAACAAGTTTTACTAACAAAAATCTTTATTTTGCAAGGGATCTCTGCAGTTTCCAAATTGGCGTTGTGCCTGAAACTCTCATCTATGGAGATACTCAACCATTTCAATTCGCTAAGCTCCTCGCCTTCAAACATCATTACCTTCTCCTTGTCGTGGTCTACTTGTGCAGTAGTAGTAGTAGTATACTTGGCCACCATCTCCACTGCTCTTTCCTCATCTTCAAACTTCTTTGTTGCTTCCATTTTCTACACATTTAAGGCAGCTAGGCACAAATGACAAACCCAATATGCTTATCCGGCCTTGGATCGAGGCGAGGCTAAAATTGATGTTGCTGCTGCTCCATTTCTGCCACTATAGTATCAGTCAACGGAGGAGTGTGTGAACACAATAGAAAGATCGGACGTTGTTAACTTCAAGGATGCTTCCTCGTCCGTAAAAGGCAAAATTTTTTGACTCAAAACCTGTGATCAGACATGATTGTAAAGCTACAAAGAGTATGGTGTCTATAACGAGTCATCTTCACAAATTGTGAAATTCCATAGTTGATAGAGTTTAATTATACGTTTTTACTCACAACTTGTCACTTTAAAATCAATTGATCTAGCCATAAGACATAATACTAAGAATGTTTATATGGTTTTCACCAAAAAAAAAAAAAGAAAAGAGAACGTTTATATGGCTTAACCAGATTCAAAGATGTTTCCTAATTACAAAGGTGTATGTTTTTTTTTCAATTTCTCACTAAAGCATCTCCTCTAAAGTCTTATATTGATTGGGAGTGTACCTAATGGGACAATTGACTTCATAGATAACAATCCAATCTTACCAATTACAGGATCATTTAGTTGATTTAAAATGTTCTCTATGAAACTATCTCAAATTTGTGAAGAGGTAAAGCTCAAACTCCACGTCAAATTATATATTAAGAAATAAATATTTATAATTAATTTTTGAACTTTACCGAATTCAAAGAGTTCAATCAATGACAGAAATTACGACAACTCAATAGCTCAGCGGACAAATCAAATGTCAAGGTTTGAA